CAGCCTTCCAACACCCAGAAGCATTTTACCGTAACCCAATATTCCATCGTCCATGTTCCAATGAAACGTAGACTAAACAAGACTTGCTGTGATTGTGGAGTATATGCTATAAAATTTATGGAATGTCATCTACTTGGTCTGGACACTTCTTTGGTTGATGATGAGAACATCTTGGGTTGTCGATATAAGATAGCGGTTGATCTTTGGCAGGCTGCCAATGATCCAGAGTTGATGGATCGGACGTCGAAGTATGAGCCACCTAAAGTCGATCCTCTCGATTATATTCATATAAATTGAAGATTGTGGTGCACTTTGTGTATATAAATTTCTATTAGTTTTTGTTCTCTTTTTTTATTCACATTTCTTTAGTAACATTTTAGTTTCAAATCAAATTTAACATCTATTCTAATTGTGTCCGTGTTTATAATAGTTTTGATTTTGGTAAAAGACATAATAATGATTATAGTGAGTTAAATTGTACTGTAAAAAAAAATTTTGTGCTACCACAGACACTCGAACCCACGTTACTAAACTTTTTAAAGAGAGCTATTACCAACTGTGCTATTGTTATATATTATCATTTGCTCTACGCAAGTTTATAAAACTAATATAAGCATTTAATAAAAGTATTAAAAAATATGCAATAGTTGTTGATTAAACCTTGGTTGGGAAAGTTTGTCTTACTCATGCGAACCATCAGACTATATATGTTATTTTTGATCACTCAATTTTGTTTCCTTATCACTGTTATTGTTAGCTTGCGAACCATCAGAAAATACATCGTGACATAACAGTCTTCCCCATTTAAAAGCTGTGTTTTTTGGTTTGTTTGACAAGTAATAACAAAACTCTTTAATTACGCTAAGATACAAATTGAACAACAACTCATGAAGTGTTAACACCAAAACAAATCTTAAACCAAACACATCTGAATCCGAAAAATAAACAATAACCAGACTTTAATAATTGCGATCTCAATTAGATTGCGACCTTACATGACCTTATGTTGTGTCCACCTTGTAAGCGTTTCCCTTATACTGTCTAATAGAGGAATCACAGGATACTCCCTAGGGGTTTTCAGTAACGAATTTGTTGATTCTGCTGGATTATTCGTCCTTATGTCATACCTGAATCCAGGAAAGTAACAACGAGTCCATTTTCTCACATCTGAGGTCTGAAGGTATGTTCCAACAGCCTGACTCATTCCGCAGATATCATCAAAAATATTCACAAGATCGACAGCCCTATATGCTTTTGAAGCTCTTTCAACCATCCATGATACTCCTCTGACCCTATAGTTCTTAACCACATTGCTTAGCAGATGATGAATGCAAATTCCATGTTTAGCTAGTGGATAAACATTGTTGAGCGATTGGACAATTGNATTGCTTAGCAGATGATGAATGCAAATTCCATGTTTAGCTAGTGGATAAACATTGTTGAGCGATTGGACAATTGATGAGTTTCTATCTGACACGAATGCTAAACCAGGATCATCATCAATAACAACCTTCAACTGCATGAAAAACTACTCCCATGAATTATGATTCTCTGAATCAACTACCCAAATGTAATTGGATAAAGGTTAGAGTTACCATCTACAGCTGTAGCAACAAGTAGAACTCCTTTGTATTTATGTTTAAGAAAAGTACCATCTACTACAATCACCCTCCTCATTGCCTTGTAGAACCCTCTCACAGATTGACCAAATGGAAGAAGCAAGGTGTTTAAGAAAAGACTCCATCGACAATTGTGATCTTTACAGAAAGCAGACCACCATCTTCTTGTCGATTTAACAACCTTGTAGTCAAAGTTATATTTCATAGCATAAATTTCCACAGTTGATTTCAGTTCGTCTTTACCTTTGAAAACTTGATCCTTCTTTACGCAATCAGCCAACCAAAAATCACCTTGCTTTTCATGGTATTCCTTCATTTCTGAACCTAAGCCGTGAGCACCATAATCAACGTGAACATTAGTGTCTTTGGCTTTGCCTCTGAAATCATCATTCATCTTTGGCGAATGGCAAAACGTGTCATGATTTACTCTAACATTACCATCATCTTCAAAGTAACTTGAGTTAGAAGGCTCCTTATTCAGATCGAAATTGTTGTTGCGATTCCCAACCATACTCGCAAATGAAACACACAAGTAGATGGATGAATTTTTCTTCGTATATCCAATAAAACTGCAAACTTGGCGATCATTGGAAATAACAACTGGTGGAATTCTTAAATTACTCATCAAAGAACTCGGAAAATAACTCAACTCAGCACTAACAATCTTCTGGTCCATTCCAAAATCCTCCAAAACCATCATCTTCAATTGCTCTAATGTAGTACTTGCTTCCATAAAGAGTAATCTACCCTTTTTTTTCCTTATCAACAATGAACTTCCACTCATTATTCACATCCCGTCTCCAAACACCACATGAAACATAGATGAGAACCATTTGATTTGATAAACAAGAAATAGAGAAGAGGAAGAAAGGAAGAAGATCGTTGAATCAAAGAAGGGATGAATTCAACGCTATTCCCAATAAAGTTTCGACCAAAAAAGATAAACTTGAATAAAAGGTAGTTACTGATTTTTCCTAGATTTTCTCATAAAATAACTGAAAATATAGAATACATATTCTAAACGGGATAGAACACAAATAGAAGGTTATAATAACCATTCTAACTACTTAGAACATATGATAAAAGTAAGAACAAGACATTCTATATTATTATAGAATATAGGATAGAACATATGTAAATGTTTTCTAGATTTTTCTACAACAAAGTAAAAAGCCTAGAATATATATTGTATGTTTGAAATAATAAAGTGTCTTGGTTAGAACGCAGACATACATATTCTATATTAGCTAGATCATAGACAAATGGCTACAATATAAATACTAAATTTGATAAAACGTTGAAGACAAGTTAGAATGTTTATTTTATCTTTGTAAAAAGAGTTATAATATATGTTCTTAAAAATCTAGATCAACACATCCAAACTGTATTTGAAGTTTATTTTTTTTATCCAAACATATAAAATATTCTTATGATTGTAATGATTTTTTCATATTTTTTGAGCTTTGTATCTTTTTTTAATAATTATTTCTATTATTATGAGGGTATTTATGTCTAAAACTGACTAATTATTGTAAAGGTATAGAGGGACAAAAACATTTCTATTATAGCCTATTTTTCCAATTTCCCCAAAAAATTTACACTTTTTGGTTAAGAGACGGTTTAGAGCATCTCCAATGGTCTTACCCACCATTGGAGTCCTTAGCAATAAAATAATTATTTTTGTTTTATTTTTTGAATAGTTAAGGACTCTAATCATACATGTTCCTCCAATGGTGTTATCTATTATGGAGTTCTTAGGAAAAAAAATATTAAATTTTAAAACATGTGAAATTAAAATTTTTATGAGAAAATGACTTAAAAAGCCTAGAAAAGGTTTTTGTCACAAAATATAGCCAAAAAAGAAAAAAAATGACCAAAATGGACTTTATTAAATAGTGTAAAAACACATTTATATTCATTGGGTTAACTAATCTAGACTTAAGGTTTAAAGTTATGGGGTTTAGGGTTTAGGTCTTACGGTTTAATTTTTTTTTTAAGTTAAAAATTTCAACAATCGGGCATTGCCACGTCATTAAGGATCGAATCCTTAAATATTTTAGTTAAGGACTTTTCCTTAGTTTATGCAAATTAAATATTATTATTTAAATCTAATTTGCCTAAGAATACGTGTTAAGGATTAGGTTAAATTTTCCACTGCGTGTGGTCTAATATCTCTTATTTAAGAATGGTTCTTTAGCTTTTCTTAATTAAAACTAGATCTCAACCCACGCAACCGCGCGGGTATTTGTTTTCATATATTTCTTATAAACATTTCTTTACTTCTAAATTGGTATATATTATATAAGATGTGTATATCAAAAATGATGATTAATTATTATATAATATAGATTAATTATTGTTAAAAAATGATGATTTTGTTATTTTTAAAAATAAACTATATAATTTTTGAAATTAACATCAAAAATATATAAATAATTAACTTATACTGTTACAATATTAAATTATATTAAGTTTAATATAAATATGTATTTTATTATAATATCTATAAATCTAATGGATCATCTAATTTTTATTAGCCCAATAAAAATTTCTAGTAAGCCTAATAAATGTTATTAGGGAATCTAATGAATGTTATTAATGATTGAATAATATAATGTCATAAATTCTATTAGATGGTTCATTTTAAAATATCACACATGAAGTGAAGTCATGACTTCTCTTTTAATATATAAGACTAGAGTTTCACCCGCACATCGTGCGGGTTTATTTTCCATTTTATAAATATTTAACAAAAANTTTTAAATATATGATTTATATTCTAGTTTTAAATATAATTATATCTAATAACGAAATTAAAAAAATACTTATTTTATAAAAAAAATATTTAATTTTTTTTTGATGAGATCTTGTTAGATTTTTTCAATAGATTTTGTTATATTTAAATTCATTTATTATTAATATCCTTATTAACTATTAAGATATTTTGAAAATAATATATATTTGATTGTTTAATGTAAGAATCAAATATGTCAAATTAAATAACTAATGACATGGTCCAACATGACTTTTAAACCGTAGATAAATTTGGTACTTCTCTTTTAATAGAGAAGATTATGGTATTCCAGACTGCCTCTTCTTCCTCTATGTGGCCTCTTCCTCTGTTTCCATGTATCATTTATATACCACCGTAATATTTTGTATACGATCAATGATGAGATGGTTAGCAAAGATTAAATTGTTTCCAGGTTTCCTGTGAACTATCTGAAGGAACCTACATTCCTTCAAACAGAAGAAGTACAATCAGTTTCTGGCATTTGGCTGGAGCAGGACTTGGTGGCTTGGACGTGGATTCTTCCAACGACAACGACAAAGAGGTCATTCTAATTTTAGAAAACGGTGAAAAGGGATACTCGCTTATTGATATAAGTTACTTTTAATTTAATTGGATGACGAACCAATCCCTGCGTAAGTTGTACAAAGTCAGAGTTGATATATCAAATAAGGCTCATAAACTTCATTAGCTTAGCACTGTCTTTAGGAATTTCAATGTGAGTCTAACTTCATCATTACGTCTCCAAGTACTTGAAAAGCTCAGCTAGTGCATTGTATGAGGACCCTCCATCTCTCACAGAGGCTTTGAGCTTCTCTTGAAAACCAATTGATCTATCCCTCATGTCAGCACCTTCATTATCCATGATTAACCTTGTCACCATTTTCTTTACCTGTCCTCTTTCCACTTCACCTTCCAGCCGGATCCCAGTTTTCCACACACTCACTATATACTTTGCGTTTAACTTTTGTTCATCACCAAAAGGCCTGCAAATCATTGGGACTCCTTCCACAATGCTTTCAAGCGTTGAGTTCCAGCCGCAGTGGCTCCAGAAACCTCCCACTGCAGGATGTGCAAGTACTTCATTCTGTGGTGCCCATTTCACAATGTATCCCTTTTCTGAGACAATCTTACTAACCTCCTCTGGCAATGACTCAGAGATGACCCATAAAAAAGGCTGGTTACTATCACACAACCCCCAAGCCATCTCCAGAACTTCATTTGCTTCCATATGAGCTTTGCTTCCCAAGCTTATGTATATGACTGACCTTGGTTTCTGCTTATTCAGCCATTCAATGCAGCTCATGTCCTCTTTCAGTAAACTAGAATTTGCTGAAACTGTAATGTGAAGAGGACCCAATGGATACACTGGAATGCCAAGTTCTTGTTGAAGCCATGACAGAGACGAGCTCTCTAGACAACTGACCGTGTTGATGATGATCCCGGAAGCTGTTCCTCTGTTAAATATTTCTCTACATAACTCCAAATATCGGTCCAGCGGCCCCATTCCTGAAGTCGGTAGGTCTTTGTATGTTAATGGATGTAAATCTTCCACCACCAAGTCTTGCATTTCAGGATCTAAAATATAAAAAATAATCCTCTTGTTGAGTAAAAGGGTATGTGCATGCATGATGCATAATGCTTAATACGCTATAGTTTGTTTACCTTCCATGTCGATCAGGAACTTCTCAGCATTGAGTTTGCTTAAAACGCAGCCGCAAACTCGACTTGTAGCACTAACAGTGCTGAATATGACACTAGGGATCTTGAACTCCTTAGCTGCAGCTTCGGAGAAGTACATGAGCTCGTCATAGATGATACATGCGATATCATTGTCTTGTTGTAGCAACAACTGAGATATACAGTTCTTGAAGCTTGCCTCGCTTGTTTTGTTGAGCTTTATAAGGAATTCGACCGGTCCAAGTGTCTTGAGTTGAGACACGGGTAAGCTTTCTTGAATGGTGACAAACTGAAATCCAGGGATGTGACTTACTTGATTGGATCCTCCTTGAATAACTGTAATTGAGAAGCCCTTGAAGTTAAGGGCTTGCCCGAGTTGCATAAAGGGAGTTACATGTCCTTGTGCTGGAAATGGAACTAAGATTATCCTTCTCTTCTCTGCCCTTTTCTCCATTCGGTTAACCTCTCTTTCTCCCTACTTTACTTTCTTAATGCAAAGTATATATGAATATATGATCAATATCATTATAGTATTGGAGTCATGCGCTCACTACTGACGTCACACAGAAAGTCAATATATTTCTTTGTTTGTTTGTTCTTTTGGATCAGAGAGTTTGTGGTTTTTTTTTCATATAAAGTAAGTATCAACCTGTCAAAAAGAGCTTTTAGTATTTCTCTAACTTTACTTGTTACTTATAATATTCTTTACACAAGTGACGTTACATGTACCTAACCTTATCTTTAAATTATTTTGATGTGAAGGTGAAGACCCCTTTGAATTTCCTAAAGTATCAACAATCACTTTTGGCAGAAAAGATATTAAAGAAAATTACTAGAACGGCTTGTATATGACTAGAATAATATACATTTTTAAAAATTATTAGAATGTTTTTAGATTCCTATTAAATTACAATAAACACCCTTGTTTAATTTTGTTACTATTGATACAAATTTTAATTATTAAATCCACATCATAATTTTGACAATCCACGTCACTAACTAATTTGTGTCATCAACAGTTACACTGGAAAATCAACAGTCTCATATCTCTGATGAACAAAAAAGAAAGTCTTAATGTCACAACTTCTCCGTCACAACTTTCGTTAAACTTTAATTAATTACGAAATCACGAAATCATCTTCGTCACCACTAATACTCTCATTTCGAACTGTGCTTCCGATATCGTAAATCATCTTCGTCGACCTCGTTAAACCCTAACCGTCTCCGATATCATCTTCGTCGACATCCTCTTCTCCGCTAAAGTTTCGACGTAATCGTATCTACGACATCATCTTCTCATCTTCTCTGGTATGTTGTGCATGAGTTTGATTTACGACGTGTCTGAGTTATAGATTATGTTGTAACTGAGTTATTGTATAGTGTGGCTGAGTTGAGTTTGATTTATGAAGTGGCTGAGTTATTGATTATGATCCGACTGAGTTATTGATTATGTTTTGGCTGAGTTATTGATTACTGTGGCTGAGTTATATATTATGTTGTGGCTGAGTTATTTATTATTTATGATTTGGCTGAGTTATTGATTATATTTTGACTAAGGTATTGATTATGTTTCGGCTGAGTTTTGTTTCTATTACGACTGCCTTATATGGTGGCTGGGTTATTTATTATGTTGTGGCTGAGTTTTGTTACTATTGCGGCTGATTTATCTTTATATGTGTTTTAGGATCAGATGACTATTTCTGAAGATCAAGCACGGGATTATCCTCCACGACTTTACGCTGAAGGGGCTTCTAATCTATAAAATAAAGAGATTAATCACAATTTGCAGATGGGAGTTTCCCTAACGTCAGAGAAACAATAGGACGGGATGTGTGGGATCACATGAGGTAGGGTCCTCTTGAAATTATTGTGAAGTTAGCTGAACGCAAAAGCGTGTGGTCTGGTAGGACTGTCCACTATCTACTATGTCAACAGCTTCTAGTATACATGAAGGAGATTTGGAGTATAGTTGGTGATGAACCTATCAGGTTTAGCTTACCGAATTTGGTGAGATCACTAGGTTAAAGACAGATCCAGTGCCAACATAAAGTTTTAAACATGACCAATACAAAGCGTTTTGGGAGGAGTTGAATCTGCCACTTAGGGTAGGACCCAAGTTAGATGAATTGAGGGCAGCATTAGAGGTATGTCCGGCCTGGAGTTTTGAAAAGCGTAAATGGTTAGGGTTGTTACTTCTTCAAGCCATGGGACTTTATGCTTTGCATCATAATTCTAGGATACCGTTTGAAAGTGCAAAAAGAGTATTCGACGATGAAGCCATGATGACGTATCCATGGGGGCGGACTGCATATGAAGTTCTTGTTGACTCTATTAAGATGTTAAATCCACAAGGAAGGACATACACCATAAGCGGTCTGAAGGACATGTTGTTGGTTTGGGCGTATGAATCTGTCATTTGTTTTGGAGAGCGTTTTGGGAGAGTGATTAATGAGCAAGAAGTTCCATTTTTTCGGTGGGGTGGAAAGCGTACACGTTCAAGTTTTGATACTGTCATTACTGAGGAGATTAGAAAACATGGCGAGGTAAGGTGTCAACTGATTTATTATTTATTTGTTGGCTGAGTTATAAGTACTTATGTACTTAAGTGGCTGGGATTTTTGGTATTAGTTATTTGATGGCTGAGTTAGCATGTATAAAGTGTCTGCGTTATTAGTTATTTTATGGCTGAGTTATTAGTTGTTTTATGAACACATAAAAGTAGTATCAAAGCACCAAAAATCCAGCCACCATATAAACAATATCTCAGCCTCTTGGTATTAGTTTTGATGGCTGAGTTAGTATGTACATAGTGGCTGGGTTTCTTGGTATTAGTTATTTGATGGCTGAGATAGTGTTTATATGGTGGCATGGTGGCTGGGTTTTTGGTACTTTGTGGCTGAGTTATTAGTACTTTGACANTAGTATCAAAGCACCAAAAATCCAGCCACCATATAAACAATATCTCAGCCTCTTGGTATTAGTTTTGATGGCTGAGTTAGTATGTACATAGTGGCTGGGTTTCTTGGTATTAGTTATTTGATGGCTGAGATAGTGTTTATATGGTGGCATGGTGGCTGGGTTTTTGGTACTTTGTGGCTGAGTTATTAGTACTTTGACAGCTGAGTTATTATGTATTCGGTGGCTGATGTTGTAGGTGCGCGTGAGAAAAATTGTTATGAAGGACTCTGTAGAAGAGATGTTTCCTCAGTGGCCGGATGAAGCAGCTAACCCGTAACTCGTTAACTTGATAACAGACATATATGCAGGTCGGTTTGTTAGAGGTTTTTGGGGGAACACAGATGAAACGCAAACAAACAAACGCAAAGGTTTTTGGTGTTTCGTCAAAGGCTGAGCCACCCATTAAAAAGCAGAAGAAAGTGAGCAGCTTCCAAGAGGATGAAGCTGCTGTGGAGGGAAAGGGTGCTTAAGAGAAGGAGGTAAGGATGATATTGGAGAAAATCCGATAATGTTGAAAATAATGTATACTCTAGATAGAATTGTCTCAAAAATAGACAGCCACGAGAACGCTTCGAAAACTTTGACGCGCGGTTATCCAGAATCGAGTCCAGTTATACGAACATTCCTGATTTAGTCAGAGTTGCAGTGGACGAGTACTTCTCTAAAGTTCCCCAACAATCTTAACGTTGCCACCGCCACCGCCACCACCGCCACCGCCGAACTTTTTTCCGCAGCAGTCAGTCAATAGTCCACCTGCTAAGGCCTTTGGCCATAATACACCTGCTAAGGCCTCTATCCATAGTACACCGACTAAGAATTTGGGAGAAACTGTTGATTACGTTGGTGTTTCTCCAGCAAAGGACCCAGCCTTAGGACGCGGGAACAAGATAATAAGGTTTAAACAATAAGGATATGAGGTTAAAGAGAAGGACAAAGAGGCGGCTGAGTTAGGAAAGAAGGATGTGTCTCCTAAGAATATCTTAACGGCTGTAAGTAGGGAAGAAGAGGCTGCGTTAAAGAAGAAGGAGGCGGCTGAAAAAAGGAGAAAAAAGCGGCTGAGACAAGGTAACGGAAAGCTGACGAAAAGAAGGCGGCTGAGTTGACACTACAAGAAATATGAGTATTAATAGCAGTTTGCGGTAGCACAAATTCATCAACTGCTACTAAAAGTGTCAAAATTCGGATCCTAATTCTATCATAGCATTAAATCAACGCTATGCAGAATTTTCATTAGGCGGTAAACTAAAAACCCATTTTAGAGCCAGATTTTTTTTCGGTAACACTTTAGACCGCGAAGACTTACCTAAATTTTGATTTTTTACACTAAAACCTTTTGTTTTTGGGATTTTTTTTTCCTTTGCTAAGTCTTGTCTTCCTCTCAACAAAATTTTTTCATTCGTTTGTGTCTAGAAAAAAAAATTTCAAGTCTTTTCCACTCCATGATCTCAAACCCAGATTCGTCACAACTCCACTCCGGCGAGTTTCCCCACCTCTTCCGTTCTCAATCCAGCTATGCTTTTATCTGACAATCCCAAACCCTATCTATTCTCTCTGCTTCTGCGAAACACTAAATATTGGAGGGGAAGAAGACCTACTACTCTTCAATGGCGGAAGACACAATCAGTAGCCATGGCTGAACATCCTCGTCTTTCTCTTGCAGACTGTGAAAGCTTTTCTTAAGCAACCTATGGTCTTCCTAAGGTAAGAAGAATANGCTTTTATCTGACAATCCCAAACCCTATCTATTCTCTCTGCTTCTGCGAAACACTAAATATTGGAGGGGAAGAAGACCTACTACTCTTCAATGGCGGAAGACACAATCAGTAGCCATGGCTGAACATCCTCGTCTTTCTCTTGCAGACTGTGAAAGCTTTTCTTAAGCAACCTATGGTCTTCCTAAGGTAAGAAGAATAAAAAAATAATGAATTGGTCCTTATGATGATGATTATGTGTGTGTTTCAGCTAGAAGAAATCTGGGAGAGGAAAGAGACATGCTAAAAGTGGAAATCGTTTCTGGAAGAACATTGGTTTGGGTTTCCAGCCTCTCTGTGACGCCATCGAAGGTTTGATCTGCAGATTCAATAGATAAAGACTCCAACTTTCTTTTTTGTTCAAAGTTTATTTTTAAACTGTTGCTGTTGCAGGAAAGTGTGTGTGGATTGTGGTGTACCGAAACCTCGATGAAAGATGATTTCTCTACATATTCTGTTGTTGCTGTTGCAGGGTTTTGACTTCGCCAACTCATCCTCGCGGGAGCAATCGAATTTTGACGAGTTTTGTATGATTTGGTGAAGGCTGGAGCTTGCTTACAGAAGATGTATAATAAATGTAGAAGTTTTCATGTTCTAACTGGTGTATGCTGCAGATTTACCGAATCGGAAGCAGAAAGGAGCCAGCTTTCCCGCGGTAAAGCTGAAGGAGGAGGCGGCGGTATAAGGGGAAAAGGAGGGAAAGGGCAGGGGAAGAAGTGGTGAAGGGTGGAGAGATGATAAGAAAGAAGAGAAGCTGAAC